GTTTTCGGTCTCGGCGAATGGCATCTCTTTTCCTTCCCTTTTCATCCTCAGATTCTTAAGTCAGAAACTGAGGGGTCATTCTTGATCATTTATTGCTTTTCCTCATCCAGTTAATTATGAAATAGAGTCTATATTGTATTTTTTTTTTTTCGAGACAGTGTCTCACTTTGTCGCCCGGGCTAGAGTGCCGTGGCGTCAGCCTAGCCCACAGCAACCTCAGACTCCTGGGCTCAAGTGATCCTCCTGCCTCAGCCTCCCGAGTAGCTGGGACTACAGGCACGCGCCACTACGCCTGGCTAATTTTTTTCTATTTTTAGTAGAGACGAGGTCTTGCTCTTGCTCAGGCTGGTCTTGAACTCCTGAGCCCAAGCGATCCTCCTGCCTCAGCCTCCCAGCGTGCTGGGATGACAGGTGTGAGCCACTGTGCCCGGCCTAGGTTCTATGTTCTGAATGGCCTTTACATCTGTCTGTTTCTTTCCATTCTTGTTGCTAGCTTTGTCCAGTCCACTCTCAAGTCTCACTTGAATTACTCCTGCTACTAACCAGTTTCCCTGCTGAGTCTCATTTTCTCTCCATTGCTCATTCCAAGCTCTCTTCCTGTTTAGTAAAACACTAGACTTCTTAGCACCTGGCCCTTGCCTTTTTCTGGCTTCCTTTCTTGCCGGTGCTTGTACACTACCCTCCACTGTACTAATCTTTCACTTCCTGTAGCGCATCTGCTGCTGCTCACGCCCAGGCCTTTGTATGTGCCAGTCCTTCTGTATAGAAGGGAACATTCTTCACTTCATTTCACTTCCCTCATCTTTTTACTTCTTTCCCCCTACTTGTCTTCAGAGCTCAGCTAAAACACCATTTCCTTTGGGAGGTTTTGCTTGACCCTCCATAGACTAAAGTAGTTGCTCTGTTACGTGCTCCTGTCACACTAACTACGCCTTGTTGTCTGTCTGTCTTCCCTGTGAAATGACAGTAAGCACTGTAAGGACAGGACGCACCGTGGTGTCTGTTACCAGTGTTCAGTGCCTGGCATGTAGCGTGTGTGTAATTTAAGGAATACTAAATCGGATCACTATTTGAGCTGTATTCTTCTAGTTTAGATTAAATCAGTTATCTGGAAACTCACATTAGCACTTTCAGATTTCTGAAACATTATCAGTAAATAATTACCTCTGACTCATTGTCAGTTTATTTATTTACCATATTGTTTTGTTGTCTTCTTTTGTCTTCTCTTCTTCCTCATTTTCCTCTTTTATTCTTCCTTTTTCCTTCTCTTCATCCTCCTCTTAGTCCTTTGCTTTTTCTCTGTCTGTTCTTCTACCTTCTTCTCTTTTTCTTCCTTCTAGTTTTCTTTTCCCCACCCTCTCCCTCCCTCTCACTCCTTTCCTGCAGGACAGGTATTCCAATTTCAACTCCTATTTCTAGTTTTACACACAAATAGGGTAGAATGTGGGTCTC